TCCAGCAGGTCGAGGGAGGTGATCCTGCCCCTCTACTCAGCCCTGGTGAGGCCGCATCTGGAGTATTGTGTCCAGTTCTGGGCTCCACAGTACAAGAGGGATGTGGAGCTGCTGGAGAGAGTCCAGCGCAGGGCCACAAGGACGATCAGGGGCCTAGAACATCTGCCCTATGAGGAGAGGCTGAGGGAGCTGGGCCTGTTCAGCCTGGAGAAGAGAAGGCTGAGAGGGGATCTAATCAGTGTCTGTAAGTACCTCAAGGGAGGGAGTGAGGAGGATGGTGCTGGCCTCTTTTCAGCGGTGGCCACCAACAGAACTAGAGGTAATGGCCACAAACTGAAACACCAAAAGTTCCGCGTGAACTTAAGGAAAAAGTTCTTAACAGTGAGGGTGACAGAGCACTGGAACAGGCTGCCCAGAGAGGTTGTGGAGTCTCCGTCTCTGGAGATGTTCAAAACCCGCTTGGATGCAGTCCTGTGCCATGTGCTCTAGGTGACCCTGTGTGTGCAGGTGCAGATGATCTCTAGAGGTCCCTTCCAACCTTAAGCATTCTATGATTCTATGATTCTATGACCAGAGGAGAGGATGAAGGGTCGGAGATCTTGTTGCCTTATTCTAGATCTCTTACCTAATCAGAAATGACTGTGGCTGAATTTGTTGATCTGTATGTCATGTGCTTTGAAAAGCACTCCAGGATCCTTAAGACTTCGCTCTATAGTGCACAGTGCCATCCCTGTGGATACATGTAGATACTATTCTGTCACACAGGGACTTCTGTCCTTCCCGTTCAGGCTAGAGCTTTATCACCAGGCTGAGGTTATTTCTCTTCCCTCTTGAGCCAGAGCTAGAGGAAGCTGCTTAACACTTCAGACAACCCTGGCCCAGACATGTCACTCCATCTGTGACTTCCTGCCTGGAGCTGAGCTGAGCAGCAAACCAACCTTCAGGATGTAACCGCTGGCTACTTGAACAGTGATTGTCAAACAAAGGGAGGCTCAGGGTGATACATCTGTGCCCTGGGGGGAACCAATACTCAGACAGAAACAGATGTCTGGCTATAACTGCCCTCCTCTCCTATCAGTGTGCTGCAATGCCCAGTTAGCCACATTCTCCTCTGTGTGCTGTGCTGTACAGGGGACTCAAAGAAATCTTTGTGTTCACCTGCTTGAGCACGTACCTCCTTGCAATCCCAAAGACAGTTTGATTAGATAATGTCATATAATCAATATGTGTGTGTCTCTTCACCTCTGCTAACCCACTGCCATGGGGCTGGTGAGGATAACACAGGTAAGGGGCTACTATGATGATTAAGGGGCAGGAGCATCTCTCATATGAGAAAGGCTGCTAGACCTGAGACTGTTCAGTCTAGAGAAGTATGAAGGGGGAATCTTATCAATGGTCTGAAGTGAGTTTGTCAAGAGGGCAGGTCTGGAGTATTTTTAGTTGTGTCCAGCAGCAGAACGAGAGGCAATGGACACAAACTGAAACAAATGATGTTCTGTCTGAATATGAGAAAAAACTTCTTTACTGTGAGGGTGACAGAGCACTGTCACAGGTTGCCCAGGGATTGTGGAGTCTCAGAGGTATCAATATCTCAGAGATATTCAAAAGTCACCTGGACACAATCCCAGGCAATATGCTCTAGGTGTCCCTGCTTGAGCAGGAGTGTTGGTCTAAACAGTCTCCAGAGGTCCCTTCCACCCTCAACCATTTTGTAGTTCTGAGTAACCAGGCACTTGGTTCTGGGGATCATCCAAACTCGTCAGCCAAGGGTGGGTTGATGTGCTGGTGCTTTGGTGGCCCTTCTCTACACATGATGCTCAACCAGCTCTTCCTGTCATTGGAGTGAAACCTCCATGCCTGTCTGTCACTGGGAGCTGAGTCAAGCTGTCACGCTTGTTTTCCACTCCCCTTTTTAAGAAAAGTCTTAACAGGTAGAGCTCCTTTCAACCTCTGCTCTTTTCCTCCATTTTTTTCCAGGTGCAAGGAGCTATCATGGTAGCTTCCTGCTTTCAAATCTTTGTTGGATTTTCTGGCCTGATTGGATTTCTGATGAGATTCATTGGCCCTCTGACAATAGCCCCAACCATCACCTTGGTTGCGCTACCTCTCTTTGACTCGGCTGGAGATGATGCTGGGCAACACTGGGGCATATCATTCATGTAAGTCTCAGCTCCCCTTGGGAAAACTGTGTGAACACAGACCATCTCCCTCTAACATAAAATCAAATCTTATAATCTGTAGCAGGCTTCTGTGGGGATTGAAGAATAATTTGTTGAGCACTAACATGTGACAGGCTTGTGAAAAACACCAGCATGGCATAAATTATTCTCCAGGAGCTTAGAACCTTCAGCAACAAAGCAAAAATAATAATAATAAAAAAAAGATCTCATTTTATGAAAACCCTGAGTTCACAGGTCAGTAAACAAGCCTTTTCTATGGTGACTCCTGGTGGCAATCCCTATCATAGTTCTCTACATATAGTATCTCACATACTCAGAATTTAACTTAAAAAGACATTTCTAAAATGGAAAAATTAAGTTCTCCAAGTTAGGTATTCCTCAGGTCAAGACAGCAATATATATTGTTTTCACAAGAGTAGGATGAATTGTTTTCTCCTAAGAGGCCCCGGGAGGTCTGGAAATACTTACATTATGCATATGTGGCTTTGCAACATTAAGGTTTTCCTTTCAGAGGCATTTGTGCATGTGTACCCTTATGGTTGGTGGTAGGACTTCCTTGGCACTCCAGAAACAAATAAAAAAGTTAGAAAAGCCACTGCATGGTTCATCTGCGTACTTGACACTTTCACATCCATCATGCAGACTTGAGCCTGGGGCAATGTACCACATTAGTTTGCTATTTGCCCTATGGACTCTTGACTGATTTGCTAGTGGTGTCAGAGCTGCCTTTGAGGGTTCAGCAACTGGGTTTGACTGCAGCCCCTGGGAGGCCATGTGCTTTTGGGGGACACACTCCCAGCTCTCTCTCTGGCCCCAGGCTGAGCTTGTGCTCCTGGCTGCTCCTCCTGAGCCAGCTGGTCAGCTGGACCCTCAATCCTGGCCACCTTTTCTGTCTGTTTCCTTTCTCTCCCATCTCCTGCATGCGTTAATCTCGCTCCTCTCTTTCATGACTCACACTCCTTTGCCACAGCCTGGTCATTATGCTCTGAGCTATCTGGGTTGTGTCGTCTTTTGCTGTGAGGCTGCTTCCTCCATGCTGTGTAAGTGACAAAGAAGGGGTGAGACACAAGGCTTGTGGTCTTGGCCCTGCTACCCAGCCCCACCACATCCCAGAGCACCCATGGCAAGCAAAGCCCACTGTTAGCTTCAACATGTGAGCTAGTGTGTGCTCATCTGCTCCCTGATGGCCGTGCATACATATTTCATCAGTGAGGTGAGGACATACCCGAAAAGCTCAGCACCTTTATGGGCTGCAAGTTTTAAAGTCAGAGATGGCTCTGCCAAGCACTTGGGACCTACGATAAATGTTCATTTGTACACATTGATCATACTTGAGCATATTTTCATGAGAAAGAGCAATATCCCTCACCCCAAAGATCAAGTCTTATTGAATCTTAAGTCTTTTCTCCTACTGTTCAAGGCAAAAATCACCTCTCAACACAGGTCATACTATGTCTATTTCTTCAGTGTTATTATTGAAAATAGGTTTGGGATATATTTTCCAGAAATATTTGGCCCAAGGCAGATGTTTTCCATGGAAATTTTCATCTTGAATAGTTAGGAAGAATTTCAAAGCAGCTGAAAATAGCCTCTATTAACAGGATGTATCAGGCAATCTGAATAATGAGCGGTGACACCTACCCAAGATAGAAGACTGCTCCTCGGTGATTCATAAAGTGCTGAGTCCCTTTGTAAGTGCAAATACGCAAAATGTGCACTGACGCAGCCGGCCTGGGCTCTGTTTCTTTGGAAACAAAGAATGCAAAGCAGGTCTTCCTCAAACTTTCTGCTTCACCATTCAGTGCTTTGATTGATGAGTCATATTCCTTTGGCTGTACGTGGTGGCATGCCTCTGCAGAGAGGTGAGGCTAGTGTTTCTTTTGCACCGCTAGCGTTCTACCTGTCCTTAAAGAAAGAACAGTCTCCCTCTGGTGGAGATGTAGCCTGTTTTTGGGGGGTCTCTGGAGCCCTGGGCTCTGCAGGTAGCCAGGCTTTGAGTTAATGTGTGGAAACAGGTAGGAAGATGGCCACCCATATTGTACTTACAGCTCATGTGACCTTTTCACTCATGGAAAATTACCATTTCTTCCCAAAGCTCCTAAATGTAATTTAGTGTAAATTGCCAAATTCTATTTCAAATAAATCACCTGCATGTAACTGGGGTTTCCAGGAGGTTCAGCCCCATAGCCAGGGTGGGAGAAGAGCTGCACTGTGGCCACCACTATGAGAACAAGGTCCATAGCCAGGTAGGGGCAAGTACTTTGGACAACCCATCAAGAGGGCAGGTGTGGTAGAGTGGTCAGCCATGCTCTGCCCTTCATGTGTGGCCAGGAAAGCCATGCCCCGCAAGGCACCACGGGAGGGCTCTCCCGAGGGTGGCACCACTGCTTGTGCAGGCAGGACCTGTGGGGCGCTCTGTTCCCTCCACTGAAAAAGACCCCAGTACTCCAGTTGTGTTTGCAACTTATAAGCAGTGTAAGTAAACTTGAAATCAGGAAGCCAACAAATTCTGTATTTCTAGTACATCTGCCAGCCTGGACCTTGCATGTCTCTTATGTCTTTCTTTTACTCAGCATCAGTTTTAAATTTCTGGCAATGGTATCATACTCAATGATAGCAGTGATGTGGAACACACATCACATCTTGGAATGAAAGGGAGAAAAACAAAACAAAACGAAACAATAGCAAGCATAACAAAACTCTAATAGCTTCTAATGGGAAGCTTGTTCCCCTTCAGCCTTGACAGAGTAGGGACCCTTTCTGTAGTGCCTAGAGCCTGATTTTGGGGGGATTTTTTGTCTCATGATCTCTTTTTTTCCCTCTCCATAGGACTATTGCTTTCATAGTTCTCTTCTCTCAGTACCTGAAAGATGTTCCTGTGCCTTTGCCATCTTACCAGAAAGGCAAGAAGTGCCACTTCTCTAAGATCTACCTCTTCCAGATCTTCCCAGTAAGTTACATTTCCTGGTGATGACAGAGTGACTGGGCTAACCTGGTTCAGGCTGTCTGGGCTCAGACATTGTTTCCACTCACTTCCAGCACAGTAAGAGTTTCCCAGCCTCACCTATGTTGCAGTCTGGTTTCATCTTAGTGTAGAACAGCCATCTGTATCTCAGAAACGCAAGTTGCTCAGCAGCTCATGTGCTGGAGCTGGTCTCTGATTCCTATTTTCTCTAGTCATTTATTTTGTTATTTGGATAATCAGAAAGAACACTTCCTGAACGCGGTGGAGCCCTCTTCAGTTACCCACTGCACCTGCCCCCAGGACTGCTCTTGGCAAGGGAGGGTGCTGGGGGCAAGAAGGTACCACCACCCCCTGCGAGGGAGGGAGCCAGGACATGCACCCAGCTGGCACCCTTTCTCCATGGGGTATATGGAGAGGGGGGCCAGACTGGCAAACATCCTGCCCCAGACCCTGTGCTGCCCTGTGGTGGCCCTATCAGCCTGATGGAGATGGGGCTGCGCCCTAACACGATGCCGCCGTTGCCTGTGCTGGACAGGTGCTGCTGGGGCTCTCCCTGAGCTGGCTGCTCTGCTACGTGCTCACGGTGACCAACGTGCTCCCCGCGGACCCGGCAGGATACGGCCACTCGGCTCGGACCGACACGCGAGGGGACGTCCTGTCCCAGGCTCCCTGGTTCCGCTTCCCCTACCCAGGTAGCGTGGTGCCCGCGTCCGGCTTCTCTGCCTGCTCCTGCTGCTGCTCCTCCTGCTGCTCCTGCTGCTGCTCCAGCTTCTCCGGCTGCTCCTCCTGCTGCTCCTGCTGCTGCTTCTCCTGGGGGCCTCACCAGCCTGTGCCCTCACCTATGGCCGCAATGGGGAGGTGAAAGGAACCCAAGCAGCCGCCCTGGGCTTGGTTGGGTGATAAGGCAAAACACTTGCATGTGCCTCCGCTGCTTTGGCCATTAGTAGGTCTCAGAGCAAGCTTGATGCCGTTGAGCCTGAATTGGGCTCTTTCTTTGCAGGGCAATGGGGAGTCCCAACTGTCAGCCTGGCCGGGATATTTGGTATCATAGCCGGGGTGATTTCCTCCATGCTGGAGTCACTAGGTGATTACTACGCGTGTGCCCGCCTGTCGGGCGCCCCGCCGCCTCCCGAGCAGGCCGCATCGGCGTGGAGGGCTTGGGCTGCCTCCTGGCTGGGGCCTGGGGCACCGGCAACGGCACCACGTCCTACAGCGAGAACGTGGGCGCCCTGGGCATCACCAAGGTGAGCGTCACCGCAGCGAGGCGGCCGTCACAGCGCTCGCCAAGGAGGGTCAGAGCCCGCTCAGGGATGTGTCCCCAGAGTGTATTTATGAGCAGGTCATTCACCCTGGGTATGTGCTTGGGACCTGGGAATTGACCCTAGCCCAGCTCTTGCTGGACCCACTACACAAAAGAAAGATGCTTCCTGCCCGGGGGCACTTGGTGACCCTCTCGGCCAG